TTTCAGATAACGGAAGAGCAATTCTGCATCCAACCCATGCAATTTCCCCAGCCCTGTCCACAGTCATATATACAAATGCCTTACAATGGAAAACTCCAATTCTGACTTGAAAACATGGAAGCAAGTCACACCAGTTCCAATGGAACCTATTTCTAAGCAGATCTGTTCAGAACCAATGCTTAAGAAGCATTTAGAAGAATCACTAACTTGCATACTTAAGTCCAGTCAAGACTTCTATACTGCAAAGTACAGTATAACACTAAATTACTAATCTCTAAAAATGCCAATGTAGGTTAATGAAATAATTTCATTCACAGTAAATTATTCACCCTACTCAGCATTAACTAGTTTCATCATATGTATAAAGTATACAAGATGTGAATGGGCACATCTTATTGCCCATTTAGGATTAGAAGTGCATTGTCCTGGGCACCAGATACAATAAAGGGGCATTGTCCTTGACCTAGATTGAGTGCATATATGGCACTGATTCCACACTTAATCCATGCAGTTAGAATGTATGTCATTTCAACAAAGTAAATGGGGAGCAAAAGTGTGTGAGCATATGTTAGCGTCAGAATGTGTAGCTCCAATGTTAGAATAAAGGTTTAAACTAATTTGTTAACTTTTTTCTTAAATTAAAACTATTAAAAATAGAATATATGTAATACTCTGCTAAAATGCAGTTACCTGTGACACAATTTAAAGTTTTACATACCATTTAAATGCATCCCTATATGTGCAGTTTTCAAAAACACATTCACCATTCCCAAATGCTTAGAGAAATTGGGGGGGGGGGAGAGAGAGAGCAGTGTCTTTTTGATAAAATATAAGGCTTACAGAAGTAAAATCCTATTCACAAACCAGTATATGAACCATCTCCTTTTCATTAATTTTAACAGAACTGAATCAGTTTCAATTTAAGATTATAGATTTGCAAAATTAGATATGTTTTATACTTTGTTAAAACAAAGTACAGTAAGAGTTTTAGCACTTATTATATGAACTTTTCATTAAAAAAACTATTCAAGAACTAAAAAAATGGAAAGTGTACATCATATATAAATTTTTAGGAAGCAAGAAACAAAGATTTGCTTATTAGCTAAGGCATCCTAATCACACATATTTAACCAAGAAATTCAATGAAGAAATAATTGTTCAGTATTTCTAGAGACTATTTTAAGTTTTCTGTCCACTGCTTGGTATTTTTTTAAAAAGCTGGAGACTTTGTAATCTCATATAAATAAAAATAAAAATATGGTCAAATAATAATACAAATCATAGCATACATGTAGAAAAAATCTGCTGAATTTTCCATATGCCATATATTACATGATCACCTTCAAAACACACAAAATCTTTGAATAAAGTGAAAGACAGCAGTAGGAGAATGTGTGGCTATAGGAAATTAGTTCATAATTAAATCTTGAACTAAAATAAATAACTTGCTGGAATTATACAGAATGTGATCAGAAACATCTCACAATTTAAGCAAAATCATATTGTGTGTAACTTAAGTGACAAAAGAATTATCAGATCTAGTGTCGCTTTCTGATGATGAAAAACAGTCAAGTACAACTATTTTCCATACAGTCCTTTCTTTCCTGTAAACTAGACCTATGCCTCTACATACACCACAGCTTAGGGAAAACAAAGATTCAGTTACACACACGGGCACAATTAGAAACGACATGTCTCGCTCAGCAATTCATAACGTTCAGAAATAAAAGCTGCTTTTTCAAACTGAAAATGGTTCCTCTCCCGTGCATATAGGCCTGAGGCCCTGTTGCAAACAGTGTCTAACAGGCCCAGGCAGCACAAAGACAGGAATGGCAGATTAGTGGGAGGGAGGGAGGCCAGGTTTGGGGCTCAGCAGGATCTTCAAGCTTTTTAAAATTCAAACTGCTGCCTGACCAATACAAATCACGGACACATTGCTGACTACTACACAGATTCACAGCATTAAAAACACGCCTTCTGTGTGACAGCTATATTAACGTCACTATATTAACATGTATGAGGAGCCATAAATGCACAATAGTACTCTATGAACAACAACAAAAGTTACTTTACTTATGAGAAGCACTAAATAACAGCTAACTTCCAATACAAATACAACACTTACAACATCATGAAAGCTAGCACTATGAAATGTTGCTATGCTCTAACCATCATTGAAAAACATCATTTGGCAACTAGCAATATAAAAATAGCTATCACAACCAGATGAAATGCAGTTCTTCATAGCTATGTGGAACAATTCCATTCTATTAAAACAACATTTATAAATCTATAATTTGCAAAATATTCTAAATGTATCTTTTAAAATGCTACATATGCTACCATTTAATGTTAGGGGGCTTAACAAACTTTCAGATAAGTGACAGAGGCATCACCCAATTACACAAACAGCCTGGATGCAATCAATACCTATGGATTTGAAATTGATCTACTTTCGTTTTTAAAATATTAAAACTTCAGTCTAATTCTGCACAATTTTGACCCATTTCTCAGCTCAATCCTAAACATGTTTACTCAGAAGTATGCTGCATCGACTTCAGTAGCACTTCCTTCAACATGTATGTTTTAGGACCGCAGGCTTAACTACAATTGATGAGGAGATTCCAAATTTAAGGTTTTTGGCCTTTACAGTGGCAACCAACCACATAGATGTTTAGGCATCCGTCGTTGCAAAGTATCAACGTTTTAGTTCCCATGGAGCAACAACAGCTAACTATTTATCTTTTTATGGAAAGCGAGATGGAAAAAAGGGAAATAAAGGTGGCACACGCTGCAGCCAGTGTACGTTGAGAGTTGGGCAGGTGTTTGCGTTCTGTCAGTCATCGAGAAAGGGCTACCTTTATTTTATCAACGCAGTAGTAGTAGCAGTAGTAGTAGTGCACGCATTCGAAAGGCCTTGCACAGAGCCAGCGACAATTAATCACCTCTCCAGCCAAACAAATTTACCGTGTACACTCCAACTATCTGAACCGTCGGGATTGAGCAAGGAAGATTCGAAGGAAACATAGTTGCTGCCAACCATACACAGGGAGCGCATGGGAGCGCCCGTCTCTCTCTCTCCGCCACCCCGCGCGATTTGGCTGGGACCTTTTCTTTCCCCTCCTTCCTCCCTCAGCTCAGCCCGCCGGTGTGAAGTTGTAAATATGGCACAGGTTCGGTGCCCCGGCCTCTGCTCCAACTGTATTGTTTCCTCCTCCCCGCTCTTGCTCTCGGGCGCCGAGGCCTGTCACACAGGAGCCACCTCGCCTCTCTAATCCCCGAGCTGGAGTGAACGCGCTGGCCGCTGGGCCTGCGCCCTCCTCCGGGCTTGGGCTCCTCCAGCAGCTCGGCAGAAACCATTCTCTCCTCCGCCAAACCCCGGGAGGAGGCGGAGGCGGGGAGAAACGTGAAAACACCCCCCACCCCTCGGCTGCCACTCATTATTTCTCTTCCCCTCACCCCCGCCGCCCCACTCCTCTCCTTTTTCCCACACCGGCCGAAAAGGCTAATTCCCCTGACTGGGCCGCCTCGCCTAAGAGGAGGCCCAGCTCGCGGCTTCCCTTTCGCGGAGGAGGAGGAAGAGGAGAAACCTGAAAGGGGGGAAAGGGGGGGGCTTTTACCTGAGCAAAACACCGTCTGAAGCCAACCGAAAGCCAAGCGGTGGGGGGGGGGAAGGAGGAAGGAGAAAAATCCGCCCCCCTCCCTCCTCAGAGGATCCGCCGCTGGGCCGCCGCGGAGCGAGAGGAGGAGGGGAGATAATATAACAACAATAATCCGGGCCGGGAGGGGGGCTGGCTCCTCTTCCGTCTCCTCCTCAGTGCAGCGAACATGTAGAGCCGGGGACGGGCGGGAGCGGCCGAAGCGAATCCCTTAAGTCGCCGCCGCCGTCGTCGTCTTTGCCGTCCTCCCCGCCGCCGCCGCCGCCGTCCTCCTCTTCTTCTTCTTCTTCTTCCTCCTCCTCTTCTTCTTCTTCCTTCCCCTCCTTGCCGTCGTCCTCCCACCAAGCCCGATTCACGCCGCCAACATCCACACGGGCCGGGGCCGAGCCGGATTCGATAAACACCTCACGCACCGAACGACCGACCGACCGACCGACCAACCCCGGGAGGGGAGGGAGGAGAGGAGCGAGCGAGCGGGAGGGAGGGAGGAGGGGGAATCTCCTCTGCCGCGGCTTGTTCCTTCTCTTCCGCCGCCGTCACCACCGCCGCCGCCTCTCCGCCTCCTCTGTGTACGCGGGCGGGTGGGGCGGGGCAGGGAGGGGACTGCTTAGGCCACGGTGAGTCGGTACCGGGGAGGGAGGAGATGGGGAGGGAGGAGAGAGAGAAGAGAGAGGGGGAAAAAGGAGCCTGCGTGAATGTGAGCGTCGGTCTCGCTCCCTCTCAGAACAAAATGCCGACCGGAAGTGCAGCTGTAGGAATGACTCCCTCCACCGGCGCCAAACACCAACAACCTCCCCTTTTTCTCTCTCCCTCTCCTTCTGTTGCTGCTTCTGTTTCGCTTGCTCACTGCTTTCCTGCCTCCCTAAGCCGAGAGATCCATCCATGCACTCGCTGGGGAGGCTCTTCAGTCTGCGTCGCCGCGCAGACAGCTGATGGCAGCTCCGAGTTGCGTATATGGGTGCTTTGCTTTTCTCTTTTTATCCGTTTTTCTTTCTTTCTTTCCCCCACTCCTCTGTTTTGCTGTATGTATATACGGAAGGCTGGAGTTTGCAAATAAAGGCCTGATGTTACGAGGAGAAGATCTACGAACTGTCAAGATGAGGCACACGACTGAAATACTTAAGCAAAATAAATTGTCCATTTTTTCTATCTTTTAAAAATGATAAAAGCCACATGAAGAGGATTGAAAATACGAAGGACTCCCAAGGAAGAGGATGAGTGGAAATTTAGAAAAGGGGGGTGGGGGAATACCTGCTGCATTCTTTCATATCCAGATGGAATATTGGAAGCTTGTTTCCGCTTACGCCTGGTTTTCTTTTATTAAATTTCTCGTTCGTGCTTGCATGTGTGCTTTTATAAGGTGTTGATTCTGATCGCCATATCGTCGGATTTGAAGTTCTCACTGTTGAAAATTCTGGTTTCCAGATGGGCATGCTTTTCCAAAACCGTGTTTTCTGAAATAGCGTTGAGGGGGGAATCCGTGATATTGAAATGAAGGCTCCTTCGCTGGAAAATTGAGATGGTTGTTGACAGATTTCTTGCAAATAGTGTAATAATGGGTTGAGAAAGCAGCCTTGGAAGAAGGGGACATTGACGGACTTGAAAGCCTATCTATTTTCTCTTCAGGTAAATTGTTTTAGTTTGTGAGATTATGGAATAGGAACAAAGTGGAATTCATATAAATTGGCTTAATTGCCTGCTTTTTTTCCAGTGCTTTGGAGCTCTCAAACCCCCCAAATATAATCAAGGTGCTAATTTTTAAATACAGTATTTCTACTTGAGTCAGTTTTCCATAATGCTCAGAGCTCAACCTCATGTAGTTGTTTGAATGCAGTAATCCAGGGCCAGCCTCTGCCAGAAATTAGGCACTATGGCCCTGTTTCAAAAGAGCACATACAAACAAGATGTTCTTGTGTGTAGATGGGTATAGTTTTAAGGGTATAGTTTTACGTATATGCATATTGTGCTATAGGAATATGATTTTAGCTACTTGTAACATTCTGGGTTGTAAGTCTTTGAATATAAGGAAATAAATATACATATACTCCAGATTTAAAGACCTAGAATCCTGCTACAGTTAGTCATGACTAATGCCATACACACTTACCTGGGAATGATTCCCACTGAACACAGTAGGACTTCCTGACTAAATATGTGTAGGATCATATTGGACATTCAAGTCAAAGCAATGAAAATTCAGTTTCATTTGTTTCAAAGAGATTTAGTAAAGACAAAATTAGACATATTTGCCAGGTAGTGACCAAAACGTGTTGGGTATCATTTATCCTGAAAAATAATTGCACAGTTTGTAGAGAAGAGACACTAACTTTTTAAAATTGTATGTGTTTTCAAGTATTATTACAGGTAGCAGGTCCTAGATACCAAAGCAGTAGTATACCCACAAGCAGATTGTTTCGGTGCAGAAACTTAGGGGTAACACATTTCTCCATTAACTAAAAGTGTCATTAAATTCTTCATTTACTATATGTTTAGGAATTATGGTATGGTGAATTTTTTTGTTAAAAAATCCAGAATACTTGACTTGTATAAAATATAGGTTGAAATGTTATGAATTTAATTTCTTCACATAAGATGTATTCTGAGAAAAATGTTGGTAAAAAGTATTTGCGGGCAATTTAAAGTATGTTGCAAAAAAAGCATAAGAATTAATCTCATATTTCATCTGTAAATTATTTACAAGCTAAATACTTGTTTGGTCATAAACTGTATGTAGTTGTGCTCTTAAATTTAAATTTAGGGTGTTACTTAAATAAACCTAAGTAAATTAATGGACCTAACTTAGTCATATTCATTAATTTCAGTGGGTCTACTCTGTGTAGTACCACCCTCTACAGGTTTTCATTCAGTCAGGTCTATACATTAAAACATAGTTTGAAGACTATAACAAAACAAGTTTAGTTAAATGTGGTTTTCTCAGATATTGAAATATTAATATATTTTAATAAGGCAGATCCAAAAAATATCTGCTCAGATACACTTTGCCTTGTGCAGTCAGGATTTCCTTTTTAAAATGTAGACTGTTCATACTAAGTATAAATGTAAAGAGCCAAATTGTGCCCTCCTGTGGAAAAAGCACAAAAAGCCCAGAAAACTTTTGAGTTATTTCTAGGCAACCTTAGCAGGAAATTCCCATATTTGCAAACCTGCATTCTGAAAATGAATCCAGAAACAGACACTAACATATCCATGCTGCCCTGTAATTAATACAGAAATCAGCACTACTACGAAAGTTTAGATGCAGGGTGAACAACATAAATACTGTACTGAGCATCATATATAATATCATGAGTTGCAGAGTTACAGCCTATTTACAAAGTTGTTTCTGAATGTATTAAGCATATTATTTCCATCAAGAGCATACCTGGTGACCAAAGCTCCTAGACCTGTTATACCTTTTGCATAATTTAATATAATAATTTCAATAAACAATTTTTCTATTGAAATTGATACTTCTAAAGGAAAAGGACCACTGGACGGTTAAGTCCAGTCAAATTTGACTATGGGGTGCGGCGCTCATCTCGCTTCAGGCCGAGGTAGCTGGCATTTGTCCACAGACAGCATTAAGGGTCATGTGGCCAGCATGACTATACCACTTCTGGCACAGCGGTACACTGTGACGAGTGCCAGAGTGCACAGAAATGCTGCTTACCATCCCGCTGCAGCGGTTCCTATTTATCTACTCACGTTGGTATGCTTTTGAACTGCTAAGGTTGGCAGGAGCTGGGACAGAGCAACAAGAGCAAACCCTGTCACTCGGATTAAAACCAGCAAGTGGGTAGTGCTGTGGTCTAAACCAGGGGTCAGCAAGGTTTATCTTGCCTGGGCCGGATCGGTCAGGCAGAGATCCCTCCGTGGGATGGATCATGCACCCCCCGGCACAATTTTTGGCATCTGTGTCTGCGCAGATGCAATTTTGAATGTCTGCGCATGCGCAGATGTGATTTCCGGCACCGCAGAAGCGGGTCCCCGTGCCACACTGCGCCAGTTTATCGCAGCACGCGAGCGGGCAGCTCTGTTCGTGGGCCAGTTGAACGACCTCTGCGGGCTGCTTCCAGCCCATGGGCCTTAGGTTGCTGACCCCTGGTCTAAACTACTGAGCCTTTTGTTACTTCTAGATGTCAGAAACATTACACCAGTTGTATCAGTAGTACAAAATGAGTAATACCCTCACTAAGAGAGTGTTGAGTTGGGATACCAAAATCTGGGTTCAAATTCTTACTTGACTCTGAAATTCACAGTGTATCCTTGGGCAAGTTAACCAAGCCTAGCTTGCAAGAAGCCCAAATAATAGTCTTTTACTTTAAAGGCAAAGACTCAGGCAGCAGCATTCATGAACACAATACATTTTTTTAGTCTTTAAGGTGTCACATGATCCTTTTTGTATTTGCTTTTATACACTAACACAGCTAACCCACTGGAATTTGCAATTTCACAGGATAAAATGCTTTTCTAACCTTGGGATACAAATGGAGCAACTTAAGTGCAACAAAGAGTTTTCTGGCGCCATAAAGACTAACAAGTTAAAATACATTAACTTTTATTTAGATGGTGAATAGCTAATCCATATACTACTCTAATGCTTTTCAACTACTACAGTGACAACTTGACTGGTACAAACCTACATGTCCAATATTTTATAATAAGGTTTTCACTTATTGCATACCTGCTTTGCTTGCCTTACACGTACAAATGTATCAACAAATAGCTTTTTAGACTGGAATATAATCTGGAATTGAAGGTGATTAATTTGCATTTGTATAGTGTTTTGCAAGTTTAGGAAATACTTGGGTTAATGGAATAATTTAAAGTAATAAGAACTGAGTGTTATCTAAGATAGTTTCATAGTTACTTTGTGTAGATATGTCAAAATATTCATGCAGCGGAGCAGAAAAATATTCATTTTTTTGCATTTTTCACACATTCTCCTATTTGTCATGGTGTAATGTTTTTAGAATACAATAGCCCTTTTTGGAGAAAGAGTAGGACTCTATCATGTCCTTGGGCCTGGGCCTACTTTACCACCCTCCATTCCCGGTGGGGGGGGGGGGTGACACCTTTTCCTGAACTCATGCAACTGGAAAAGGACAATTGAAATTATCAAGCGGTTGGAGCAATTCTCCTGTATTGAAAATATCATTTTGGGCTTTTTTAGTTTGAAATGGAAGGGTTATTAAGAGACATTATATTATGCATAGTGTGGAGAAAGTGAAATTTTTCTCACTTTCTCATAATACTTGGGGCCATCCTATGAAGCTGAATGTTGGAAGTTTCAGACAGAAAAACATTTGTATTTTCTTACCTTTTCTTGCTTCCTCCTTACCTTGTCATAGATTTGTGATTCTTTATTCTTCCACAAAAATGATGCACTGCAAATCCATGTTTTAAGTAATAATACCTAAAATAGAATGTTTAAAAGTTTTAATATGCGATAACAATGCTTATAACCTACTCTCAATTTCCCTTGAACAATGCAAAACCAGTCACCAATTGCTAATAATGGTGAGATTTTAGTCATTCTCAGAGTAGATGTACTGAAATAAATCAAGTCCAGTAACTTGTCCATTCATTTCAGTGAGTCTATTCTGCATCTAGTACCTTTAAATTTTTTATCTGAGAAAAATTCTAGATTGCATAATATCATAAAAAAAATAAGCAGCATTGAAGTATACAATAAAACAACATACAAACATTAAAATCCTGAACTGATTTAAGTCTGAAATTCTATATACACTTGCTTGATGGTAAGCTCCATTTAATTTAATGGTTCTTAATGGGTCTTACTTTTGAGTAGACATGCATAGCACTACATTATTAAAGTTTGCAGCCGTTCTGGAAGCACATAAACAAAAGGCCCATCATTAGGTAAACCCATATGATCCAGCCAAACATCTCCTCAAGAGTACCTTTAAAAAAAATCCAAAATATTTAAATCCTATAGAACTTAGCAAGGATTAAGAGAACAACTGCCCCATAGGACTTCAGAGAACTAATTTCACGTGATTAATCATTTTTTTAAAAAAAACCACACACCACAACTATGTGTTTTACTCAGTTTATATTAGGTGTGTTTAGAAATTACTCTTTCCTCACCTGCTCATTGCCATCAATTACTCAGAAGGTAATCCTTGTCTCTCATATGGGCTGAATATCTAATGCTTGCTCATTAAATACACTTCAAAACCACCTTTTAATTACAAATACGCAAAGCAGTGAACAACATTTAAGCAAATGTCTCTCTTGATAGTTCCCTTTTTTATCTCATTATCATGAAGAAAATCTGGAAATTACCCTTGCTTGAATAGTGATACTGATGTCAAATGGCGCTCCCAACAGACCTTACAATATGCTATATCCTCAAAATAATTAAGAGGGACTCATAAAGTCTCCTAAGATATAGCTATGAAGCCCTGTAAGATTTCCAGAGTGGCCCTATGACTTGAAGAAATCCTTCGCCTTTCTATTCCCCTCAGACAACGGACTAGGCCACTAAACAACTTTTAGGAAAGAGTCCATATTTGCCCTCAAATATTTACCTCAGGTTTGACCATTTTCTTTCATAGATGTATACTTTAACATTTTTACAATGATATTATGGATTCATTTATAACGTTTTTAAAAAAGAAATATGCAAATTAATGGATAACAATAAGTCATCTTCCTTTTTTATCTGGGTAATGGTACGGTCCAGTGAAGTTTCTCTCAGGAGAATGAAGAGAAATGATTCTGTTTCTTCTGTTGTGCCAAAGCATACAGAACCCAAGAATCAGACAGCTAGATCACACTTAATATGAGATTTTAAAGAAATTATTGGCTTTTAAAGATTCTCATAATCTTTTAAACATTAATTTGTGTATTCAGAAATATATGTCACTCCATGATGCATTTTTTTAAAAAACAGAACTGCTATTAAAAAAAACAACCCAAAAAACCATAACAACATAAAGAATGTGATTTGTAATTTAAACACATACACATCCTTTTTCACGTAATATATGCAGTTCTAGACATTAATGTTCATTAATGCTTTATGCACTCTAGTGTTTTGAAAAACATTTTTCATGCTTTTTGTCTAATATCACCACTGGGACACATTTTCCTGAGGCAGACAGTGCTTTATATCTCCCATTAAGTAAGTTTCAGTTCTTTAAAAAGTAAATTAAGAAAATAGGATGAAAAGCCTAGTACCCAGTAATTCATATCAGACATGCAACCTGATCCCATGCTTGTTTACTCAAAAGTAAGTACCACTAAGAAATGGAGTCTGCTCTCAAGTCAGGTTCAACTCATTAGCCACACTTGGCTAACATGATGGGACTTTTTATCTGAGAAAGACAGAGGATTGAGCTGTTAGGCTATATTCCATGAATCGTGTACCTGTAACTTCAAATCACTGAAGGGGAAACTGCAGATATTTGTGTAAAACTGACCCGTTTAATTATAATAAAAGATGAGAGGTGTTTGGTAATTCCTTTTACTTTAGCAGAGCACATGGCATATGAACAGCCGCAGCTAATGGGGTGGGGGAAAACTCAAATCTTTTGACATCCCTTTGGATGTTATAAATAACTACAAATATGTAGGGGGGTGTTAACATGTATTACAGATGGAATAATTCATTTTCATCTAACTTTCCTCAGAGTTTTTTATTTATTTATCCCCCATTTTATTAATTAGATTTTCACGTCTCACTTTTCCTGGTAGGAGCTCAAGACAGTGTTGAGGGTCGCGCCCCCCCCATTATCCTCATAATAACCCTGTGAGGTAGGTTAGGCTGAGAAATAGTGAATGGCCAAGGACACCTAGTGAGCTTCATGGCTGAGGGGGGATTTGAACGGGGGTCTCCTGAGCCGTAGTCTGACACTCTAACCACTATACTATCCTGACTCTTTTAGAATAGTCTTTTAAAAATTGAATGCTGAATCTTAAAAAAAAAAATACTGAAGTTTTTTGGCCAGCAACAGCATCTACAAGCCCAGCATTGGTGTTCAGCATACGGGGGCAATTGCTACCAGCCACACACTCCAGCAGGGGATAGCTGAACTTTTTTTTTTTTTTTAAAATATTTTATTAAGGATTTTCTTGTTTTACAGAAGTGTAGTGCCTCGTATTTTTTTCCCCCATGTAACATTTTTACAAATCCGTTTCATTTGTTGAGGCATTAGGGGGAGAAGAAAAAAAGGAAAAAAGAAAGGGGGGTGGAGAGAGGGAAGATGGATGGGGGTGGGGTCGGGTGGCGGTGTTTCTATTATGTTTAATGTATGTAGAGTTTGGTGTCAGCGTTGCTTGTGTTGTTCACTTGTGTTCCTTTGGTGGTGAGAGAGGTTGGGGTTGGCCTAGGGTGTGATTGTTTGCTTGTGATTGGCTGTGGTGATCTTTGTTTTCGTGTGTGAGTGAGGTGGGTGGGTGTTTTGGATCAGGTTAGCCATATTGATTTGTATGCTGTTGGTGGATTATTGTCATTGTCCTGTTGGGCTGTGTATGTGATAAATGGGAGCCATACCGGGGTGAAGGCGTCTTCTTCTGTTTGTCCCCGTGTCAGTTTCAGTTTATTAGTTAATTTTTCTAGTAGGGCTGTTTCCCATACTATTTGGTACCATTGGTCCATGCTTACTCCTGACAGGTCTCTCCAGTGTCTGGTTATGGTGTTTCTGGCTGCTGAGAGCAGGTGGGTTATGAGTTCTTTGTGGTGTAAATGGGCATTGTTGTCTTGGAAGATGTTTAGTAGGGCCAATTCTGGGGTGATGTCTATTACTTGCTTAGTTATTTTACATATTTCTTGTATGGCTGTTGTCCAGAATAGTTGGATTTTGGGACACTCCCACCACATGTGGAGGTATGTGCCTGTGGAGGTGCACCCTCTCCAGCATTTTGGTGAGGTTCCTGGGTGTATTAGCGCTAGTTTCCTTGGTGTTAGGTACCACCTGTAGGTGAGTTTCAGTGTGAGTTCTTTTCTTTTCGTTGATATGGATTTAAAGGGGGTTTAGACCACATTCTGGTCCATTGAGTGGGGTTAATCTCATAGCCTATGTCATTCTCCCATTGTTTTTTGATTGCGTCTAGGGATTTACAGGATTTTGGAGTAGTATTTTGTATATTGCGGATACCGTCCCTTTACCGTTTCCCTTTGTTGTTAGGAGGAGGTTTTCGAAGGTTGTCAGGGGCCTAGTTGCTGTTGATTTTACTGTTGGGTTGTTTAAGAGGGCATGAAGTTGGTGTTGTGTTAACCAGGGCATTTGGGTGTCTTCTAGTTTGTCTTGTATTTCTTGTGTTGACAAGGGTTTGTTATTTTTATAAAAGTCTATTAGGCGATATAAGCCTTTGGTTCGCCAGGTTTTTATCTTGAGGTTTTGTGCTGCACGGTGGAATAATGGGTGGTACGCCAGGGGATTAGTGGGGATGGGGTTGGGGATAGTTTGCCTATTTGTGTTTTCCATGCTTTGAGCATGGTCTGTGTGTACCTGTTAAGTGTTGTGGGAATTTTCTTTAGTTTGTTTGGGAGGAGTGGGTATGTTGTGGTGCAGGTGTTTTCAATTGTGTCCCTCTCTAGGTGTACCCATTGTTTTGTCTCATCTTCTAGTATATATGGGATTATGTGGCGTATTTGGTTGGCATTGTAATATGCTTCTATGTTAGGGATTCCCCATCCTCCTTCGGAGGTGGGGAGGTGCAGGTATTTGGGGCTTATTCTTGGTTTTTTATGTGAGAAGATGAAAGAGTGTAGTTTTCTCTGCCAACTGCGAAGTTGGGTTGAGGGGATCCAGATTGGGAGGGTTTGGAATAGGTAGGTTAGTTTTGGGAGTGTGATCATTTTGATCATGGCTATTTTGTCTGAGAGAGTGAAGTTCATGTTATTCCATCTCTTTAGGTCTTTGTTAATTTGTCGCCACAGGGGCTTGTAGTTGTGGAGGTACAATTTATTGAGGTTTCTGGTTATTTGTACCCCTAGGTATCTGAACTTGGTGTGGCAAAGTTTTATTTTGGTGACCTTCGTGAGTTCTTTTTGGGTGTGAGTAGGGTTGTTGAAGCACATAGCTTCTGACTTTGTAAAATTTACCTGTAGGCCCGACACCATTGCAAATGTGTTGAGTTCTCTGATTAGGGAGATTGCTGTGCTTATGGGGTCTGGTGTTGTGACCATTAGGTCATCTGCAAAGAGCCCTAATTTATAGGTTCTGCCTTTTATTTCAACTCCTTGATGTCTGTGGCTGCTCGGATGCGGATTGCTAGGGTTCCAGAGCCAGGATAAATAAGAAGGGAGACAGTGGGCATCCTTGTTTCGTGCCTCTTTGGATAGCTATAGTGTTAGAATCCATATTGTTAGTTCTGCATTTTGCTGAGGCTTGGGAGTATATTTCTTTGAGGATTTGTAGGAAGTTGGGGCCAAATTTCATGTTAGTTAGTACTGCTAATATGTATTTCCACTCCAAGCAATCAAAGGCTTTGAGGATGTCTAGGGACATAATTGTCAATGGGAGTTTGGTTGCCTTGCTGTGTTCGATCAGGTTCAGTAGTTTCCTGATGGGGTCTGTTATATTGCGGCCAGGGACAAAGCCAGTCTGGTCTGGGGCTATTAACTTGTGTAGGGGATAGCTGAACTGATGCTTTGCCTGGACGTCTGTCACCATCCCCAGCCATCACTTGGCAGCGATTCCACCAGGTGTGCTTACCTGCCAGGGTATCACTGTAATGGCCTGGGAGCAAAAGGGATACTTAGCTCAGGTGGGTGCCTGGCAGCTGCCACATTTAATCTCTAACAGTGCTGTGGAAGATAAAATGTGTCAGCTACAAGCTGCTAATCAGTGGTCACTTGTCTCCTAGCTCTTTACATCACTGCCAACAGGTAAACCTACCTGACTGTTTACTTGTTTAAGAGAGGGGAAGTCTGGCAGTACCACCATTGCGGGGGGTTACCAATAGAAACACATCCAGGGTTCCTAAAACCTGGGGCAGGGCCTAAACATCTCTCATCAAAGGTTACTAGTATGGCTTAATTATACTTTGCATTTATACTCTTTCCAATGTCCAAATGTTTGACAAACCCCTCCAACAAGGTCTCATCATTAAGGCTGCAATCTGAACCATGTCTACTCAGAAGTAAGTCCAATTGAATTCAGTAGGGCTTATTCATGGGTAAGTGGACTTTGAATTGCAGTCTAAACTGCCAACAGTCCGTATATAGGTGATACAATCTAATGAAAATGTTATACAGTATGTGGCCGCTTCTAACTGAAGCAATGACCACGGTGATGGATGGGGAGCATGAAGGGTAGAGAAAGTAGAGTTTTGCGAAAGGGGGTTGAAATGGAAGAGGGAGCACATCATTTGTTGTTTTGTGAAGTATCTAACCTGCCATTACAATATGAAAAATAATCAGTGCTAGTAGGAGTTGTTTGGAATGTTAAATCCTTAACTGACCTGATAAAGGAGATCCACAGGTGCAAATGAGCAGTGAGAGCAAGTGACAGACAAACTGGCTTAAAAAAGAAAACCCCACATATGCTTTTATACCATTCTATAATGTTTCATGGGGACGCAGGTGGCGCTGCGGGTTAAACCACAGAGCCTAGCGACGGGGTGAGCTCCCGTTGCCAACCTAGCAGTTCGAAAGCACATCAAAGTGCAAGTAGATTAATAGGTACCACTCCGGCGGGAAGGTAAACGGCATTTCCGTGTGCTGCTCTGGTTCGCCAGAAGCGGCTTAGTCATGCTGGCCACATGACCCGGAAGCTGTACGGCGGCTCCCTCAGCCAGTAAAGTGAGATGAGCACCGCAACCCCAGAGTCGGCCACGACTGGACCTAATGGTCAGGGGTCCCTTTACCTTTTTATAATGTTTCATAGGTCTTCTGCTTTGGCTGTTTTTTTTGAGGGGGGGTTGGTACTGATTGTTTTTCTTCAACCATTTGATTTACCATGTGATATGTGCATAATATGAAAACTGACAAGTACAGCTTTTGAAAGCTGAGGCAGTGGGTTTGACAGACAGTGCCAGTGAGCAGCTTCAGAGCATAACAGCTCCCAGCTATAACGTTAAACAGATAAAGATGCTCTCAGCACTCATGATTCTGTTTTACCTGAAGATACATAACATACTGAATTGTAAAAAAGTTTTGCTCACCTGCAGGATTTCCTATTTCCTGCGCTACTCAGGGAAAGGGGTATTGGAAAGGGAGTATTAGAAGTGTTGGGCCACCCTACGTCCTGTGCTGTCCGAGGGGAAAGTGTTCCTAGCAAACACAGTGTACCCCTATGCTCAGTCTACTCTTTCACTTTAAACAAGTCATTCCTACAAGAAAGAAGTGGAGAGTGTATATACCAGGCTACCCCTTATGAATCAGCCTAAACTCTCCCCTGGGGTCTCCCTGAAGCCTCTCAAGGGAACACAAGGTATGGTTTCCAGGCATGAGAGTGCTTACAGCAAGCTGAGACTACCTAAGTTTATGAAACAAGATAAAAGTTTATTAGAATCATAGAGTTGGAAGGAAACCTGAGGATCATTTAGTCCAACATCTGCAATGCAGGAATATGCAGCTGTCCCATATGAGGATCGAACCTGCAACTTTGGCGTTGTCACCACCACACTCTAACAACTGAGCTATCTAGGCTGATGATGGAAAATAGTTTTAAGATGGGAAATGGTTTTAAAAATTACGTAAGTTATAGAAAAGCAATATATTCCCATTTGGATCAAAATAAAAAACTACAGTAGATTAAAACACCTTCCATGGGTGAATTGTTTCATACTCTATTCTTAAATCAACTCTCTAAGTAGGTCAGTTATCTCCATATTGCAGATGCAGATGCAGAGGCTGAGAGGTTGTGGTTTGCCTAATGTAGCCTAGTGAGTTTAAGGCCAAGGTGAAATTTGAAGCAGGGGACCTAAGTTCATTGTTCATATTCTTAGCTGCAATGGTTCACCAGCTCAGTGCTATATTTATACCTTTCTTCTGATTAGGGAAATCCCCGTTCTATGATGGGAAACATTGATTGCAAATATATCAGCACTTCTGCTAGCTTTGTAGTGACACCAGCCTTCTGGAGAGAAGATTTGCATTCATCAAATAATCTTGATAACTATACAAGAACCAACTTGGATGAAGCAGATAAAGTGTTGGGCAAGAGTGGGTGAGACCCGCATTCAAGTCCCTGCTTAGTCACAAAGCCACAAAGCATAGCCTTGGGTAAGTCATGACCTCTTTCCCTAACCTACCACACAAAATTGTTGTGGAGATAAAATGAGATAATGCCATACATGCCAACTGCGGGGGGGTGGGGGGTGGGTAGAGGCAGAAATGTCAAATAAATAAAGCAAAACCACCGGTGTAGAAAGACAAGCTGTGGCATTTTCAGAGTACTGCAACCTTTGCAAGTCATAGGACAGGACTAGTCCTCACTGCAAGAAGTGAGGTTACAGGGAACCAGGCAGAGGGCCTTCTTGGTAGTGGCGACCGCCCTGTGGAATGCCCTCCCATAAGATGTCAAGGAAATGAACAACTATCTGACTTTTGGACGACATCTGAAGACAGCCCTGTTTAGGGAAGTTTTAAATGTTTGACCTTTTAGTGTGTTTTTAATATCCTGTTGGAAGCTGCCCAGAGTGGCTGGGGAAACCCAGCCAGATGGGCAGGGTATAAATAATAAAATTATTATTATTATTCCTGCTCCACTCCAAAAAGTGATTTGAAAATGTTCAAAGGAACTTAAGATAGCTCCCATAGACATCAATGGAGAAATCAATGACTTTAATGTAGTACCTGCCCTAAAAAAACATAAAAATGGAGGAAGAAACCCAAGTCAACGAGGACTGAGAATGCTCACTAGACACTAAATACATACTTTGGGGTCAGTTGGGGGGGGCAGGAAACTGGAAGGAAGAATGAAACCATGAACAGAAGCTCTCCATACGGCATAATTTTGTTGCTGGGTCCTGCTTGCAGAAGCCCTATATGTGGCATAGCATTCTAGAACACATTATAGAATAGGGGTAGCCAACATTTTATCTTCCAGATGTTGCTGGACTACAACTCTTTTCATCGCTGACCCATTGGCTATGCTGGCTGGGGCTGATGGGAGTTGTAATAGAACAATATCTGGAGAGCATTACATCGCTATCCTGTTCTAGAGTGCCAGTGAAGCCACAAAGGTTTAGGTAATTGCTCATCCTCAAAATGGACTCTTGAGCACTATAATGTGTCCAGTGTTTTCTCAATATAAGACATTGTAGGATATGGGTGGGGAATTTACAGCTCAACAGATATTGCTGGACTACAACTTCCATCATCCCTGAACATGCTGGCTGGAGCTGATGGGAACTGAAGTCAGTGACAGGTCCCCCTTCCCCGGTCATAGAGGAAGTTCAGTTGTGGTGAATAAGATGTCTTTCTAACATTGCTGTATTTTCACACTAAGAACCTCCTGAGAAGATCCCAGGGAATCCCAGGGTTCTTAGGAACAGTTTGAAAACCACCAATTTAAGACACTGGAGAATACAATTACTGGATCAGTGATTTTTTCACTATTCACTCAGATTGTTTATGCTCTTCCTTCCATAGCATGTTATCAAAGAGTGTGTCATCAAAAGCATATAATCTGAATGTGTATGTTGCTGAATATCATACATACAGAAAGCCATGGATTCCAAGTGTATTAATTATAAATGCTAGGAATCTATACCTATTTGTCACTAGATCCACTGAATTATAGCAAAACTCATTAACTCAATGTCTAATGAAATCAGTATGGGTTCTCCTTGCAGCCATATTCCAACAAAGTATCTGATAATCTGTGAGGTTGGCAACATACTTCTGAATAAAAGTTTTAATACTGAGAGAGGCAAAAAGGTGACAAGAATTTGAGCTTTTACACAATTTAAATATTATTCTGTACTTCTCATTAATTCCAATGAGGTTTAAATAATGGTTCAATGGTACATTTAAGTACTGGTCTGGCAGTACATCTTTATAATTACATATTGTGATTAATAGCTGTTTCTATTATACATCATATTATTTTAAGGAATAGCCATGTCTGTTGAAAGTAGATAAAATGTTGACAAAAGTACTTTAAATAGTAATAGCCCTTTAGTGACTTCCTTCAGCAGTAATTTTTATTTATTCAGAAAGTACAGTGTATAAATAAGGCATATAAGAAACTGAGGACTATTTTAAAAGCCTTGTAAAAGTGCTCACGTTACAGCAACAATTATTATTCCCCCAGAAACACTAGTTTACGGCATATGGAAAATTGTTTCTTCTTCTACAAATAAGTTTTTTATTAATTTTCCAATATTCCCCCCAATGACAGCCAAATTATAACAATATCAATTAATTTGGAAAATTGTTTCTTAACCAGGTGTTTTATAGTTAACAAGACAAACAGGTATCTAGATATCATTACTGTCTGGGAGGTACAGGTAGCAGTTGTGGCAACTGTGCATTCTTCCTTCTCAGGCTTGTATATCAGCCATAGCTGTCAACGTTTCGCTTTTTTAAAGGGAAATTCCCTTATTCGTAATAGGATTCCTCGCAAGAAAAGGGAAAAGTTGACAGCTATGACAGCTGTGGCCCTATCTGGAGCATCATGGCCTAGCTTTGGTTGCTTCAGTGCTCAGGGGTTGGGGGTGGTGGCAGTCTCTCAAAGATGATTCAGAAACTTAATGCAAAACACAGCCACCTGGGTGTCAGGGCTTGAGTCAACAGGAAGCAGGAACTCAGGTTGGAGCACTGTTCCAGGACTGCCTCCATCCGGGAGGGGGGGTCTCCATGCCTCGTGCTTGCCCATGGTGGGGCTTTACTTCCAGCTGTTCACCAGCACCCGGGCTCTCGTCATTAACTTTTAATTCTTAAATAGTTTGCACCCTGCATCTGTGTGAGCCTGCTGGCAATCTAAGATCTGTGTCTGAAGTCCTATTTCTGTGCCAGCCAGTGAAATTGGTTAGGAATGCAAATGGTCTTCTCATTCAGGCATTGCCCAGATGTAGATGCCTTAGCTTTAATAAGCCTGCCTTCAGAACCTGTCCTAAAGAATGTGTGTTCTAGAACCATGTGAAAGCATTCTGACAGCCTGTCCTAATGCTGATTCATTACCTTGCACCATGCGACGAGAAGCTGAAAATTACCCAAGCATATAACATTGCCAAAATCATAGTTCAAATAATTTAACTTACATGTGTAGCTGTAACTGTATAGGAAATGTAATCCTTCCTTTAATGAAATATTAATTTTGCTAGCATATTCACACATTTTATGCTGGCCTCGGGAGAAAGGATAATCAATATTATAAGTGTTACATTTTCTGTTCTAAAATTTGAAAAGACAAACAACAGCACACACTAAAAAACAATGACAGTGTCACTGCAAATATTTCACTTGAATGATATTGACTAGGACAAGCCTTTAAAGATGTTATTTATTGATTTTTTGCAGATAACATAGTTATATGAACACAGCCTCAGTTCAGCACTCATGGAGGGTTGACAAATGCAACAGATACATCATGTGAGGCTATAGCTTTGTTCAGTTGTTAGTAGAGGTGATGTGTGCAATTCAAGCAGGAGTGATCACCAAAAGCTGCTACAAGCAGGATTGGTGCAAGGACAGCCCTGCTCACAGCCTGTTTCAAGCAGGGTTGTGCTTGCTTTGGTCCAACAAGCCACTATCCCTCTACCAACAACTTAGATATGAGACAGCAGAAGATGTCACTGGAGAATGCTCACGAACTCCTACTTCCTTTCTTTTTCCACAGTGAGCTTGGATGAGCAGCATTAGATTCCTCAGATTCATTTCTCATTATAGGGCAAGCCTTGCCATCACAAATGGACATGAATACACTGCAGACATGTGTTTTGCCACGCTGATGGTGCATGTTGCTGCCCCTACCCAATTTTAATTAAGCAGCAACATAAACAGTTTACCCACATTTTAATTTGTAAGGAAAAGACGAATGTTTTCAACTTCAGTGTTCTATCCTATCTTGCTTTTAGGTTATATATGTTTGTAAACATACATATTTGATGATAGAATTGCCTTCAAAAATACATAAATTGGTCTGGTCTAGATTTGTTTTCTTTTATTAACTTGCCAGGTAGCTTTATTCTCTTCTGTTTAGGAACTTCATACCTGCAGCAAAAGCTAAAAGCCCAGTATATAAAGAGGAAAAGAATGCTGTAATCTGTGTCCAAAGCTAGCATTGTTTGTACATGAAATCAATTCTCAAGAGAGACATTGATAGATCAGTATGTCACAGCTTTGTGTAAACAAAGTCATGTGAATTTGAATGCTTAATAGAGACCAGAAGAGAATAGTATATCTGATAATATGAACAAAGCAAAGTTCTATTTGGCTGTGCAAATAATGCATGACATTTGTAGAGCTAATAGTCTCAAGAGTCAGCAAGTAGAAAAGGACGTTGAATTAAAAGTGTACATAAGGGCACTGAATTAAGCTAGAATCCACACGATAACTTGTCTGACATACAATGTAGAGCATACCTTCTATATTAACAGTCTGCACTAATCTATAAATGGGTTATTTGGTTACTGGGGTGCTGAGAAACTATTGTTGTTACAGTTCTATTATCACCTCCTGCAGACTTTGATTTCTTCATTCTATTGCTCTTGGTAGCATAGTAGCTCATTATTACTATCCTCCCACCCTGAAGCATTATGGCACCAATTAGATTCTAAAAACTAAGTGATGGACAATATCATTCCAGAAGAAACAAGAAACATTTCTTGCCTTGTTGTTATATTGAGCGTTGGTTTTAATCTCACACTTCTTTTGGAGGCATTCATACCTCACCTCCATTTTTTAAAATGTATTTTTTATTAAAGATTTCTTGGTTTACAAAAGTATGTGCAATGTCGCTTTTTTCCCAAGTTGCATTTTCTACAGGTCAGATTCATTTGTTGAGACATTAGTGTTACATTAGGAAAAAAAAGGGGGGAAGAGGTGGAGGGGCCATGGTAGGTTGGGGTGGGGTCTGGTGGCGATGTTTCTATTTTACTTAATGTGTGGAGTTTTGTGTCAGCATCGCTTGTGCAGGTATAAGGTGCTCTGCAGCGGGGGGTTAGATCATGGGTTGGCAAGCTAAGGCCCAGGAGCCGGAGCTGGCCCAATTGCCTTGTGGATCTGGCCCACGGATGGTCCGGAAATTGCTGCGTGGATCGGTGTGGGGATTCTGATCATTCGGGATGCGCCATTACCCCCCCTCACACACACACCATGGCGGCGCCTCCTCCCTCCCTCCTGGCTTCTCCCTGCCCTGCCTAGAGGAGGAAGGGGGCTGGGCTTTGTTGAACCGCAGTTGGTTAAGCACCATTTTAAGCAGCCCTTTATGGAGACAGCCCTTTCGCACCACTCATCATCTCACCGCCACCAGCCCCTGCCACTCGCAAGGCATAGGTAAGCAGTCACCGGGGCTCGTCTGGTGCTGTGAAGAAGGGAGGGGAGAGTCGGTTGGGGGGGATTTCCCCCCAAAATTTATTCCAGCCCCCCACAAGGTCTGAGGGACAGTGGACCGGCCCCCTGCAGAAAAAGTTTGCTGACCTCTGGGTTAGAAAAGTAGATTATCAGCAATATACATCATTCTTCATGTACTACATGTGTGTGCTCACATGATGCAATAGTGGTAGCTACAAGAGAGATAGAGATTATTTACAAATCGCAATTGGATACAGTTCAATATCTAGACAATATAATAGGGGATATGACAAACTTTGTAATTATTATTTCAAAATCTGATTACCTTTATCCAGTTATTAAATGAGCTGAAATCTATATCTGAATCCCTTTACCTGGAGCCAACTAGAACTCTATATACATGGAAGCTGGCTTCCATGTGCCTTTTCCCATCTGGATAGGAAACTGCATGCACAAATGTGTCCTATGTGCATGATTCCCCTGCCACAATTCAAAAATTGGGGTTGCATAGTAGGAGAAGCCACCTTCTGTAAAAGGCTCCCTGCCTGTAGCCCTTGTCACTCCACCTTTAGCCTGCTGAAAAGTTGTCAAATTTCTACTCCTGTGATACAGGAGGTATTATTTGGTTTTTGCTTTTATTTTAAGTTTATATACTGTGATCTTTCTATGTGAACTACCCTGAAACCTCAGGGTTTAGGGCAGTATAATAATAATAATAATAATAATAATAATAATAATACACATTATCTTACTCAACAGCTTTCTGATCATTAGCACAAGAGAGAGATTTTGAAATGAAGAAACATTGGTTCCCAAGGATATCCATTTTAGCTGGACCATAGGACCAGGCTGCCCAAGATCATGTTTGGTGAATATTAACACTTGCTGATATCTTGCATGGGACTGAGTACCCCAACAAAAATATATATCTCAGTGTGAAACCATGGAAGTTTTGCAGCTGGGTCTCTGGTTTTGCACCTGCAGTTAATTGTGCCCATATTCTTGTGCCTACAACCCATTTTTGGTCTGAGCATCTGTTCCTTTTGTGTTTATTTGCACTTCAGCGATGCAGGCTTAATTTCTCCCATTTTTATTTCATAACATGCTAATGCTTGGTTTGTTTTTCGCTTAATGCTTTCTCTGTGGGCATTACAGAATTGTGTTAAGGATGTAATTTACTGTTTTGTATGTACTGGATGCTTCCTGCACATTGCCACAGCTGAGTAGATACAGTTAGGGTGACATATCAACTGTGGAAATAACATGGATCAGAAGTAGCAACTATGGAAATAACATGTTCTTTTCACACATGCTCCATCAGCTGTAGCTTTTGACTTCCACTGGCAAAGCACAAATGCCTTCATATCATGCATTCCTCTATAATTTAGAAAATTAAATGTTGGCATATTTTATATGAGCTGTCCATTGTTTTCAAGTGGCACAAAGCCTTACCACATTATCCACAGGGATCCTTTCCTAGGAAAACATATTCAGAACCTGATGCCCAATACATTTCTAGAGCTACTTACTTGGGTATAACCATGCTAAACTCAACTGGATTTGCTTCTGTGAGTAAACATATATAGGACCAGAACTCAAGGTTGCAGTCCTAAGCACATTTAGACAATGAGGCTGGATTCCTGTGCACAGTTACCTAGGGATACTCTTCTTAAGAACACTGTGGCTTACCATCACCATTGCCACCTGCCACTAATCATAGAGCGCAGCATGGGCATAGCCAGGATTTTTTGTTTGGGAGCAGGTTTTTGTGTGTGGGGGGGCAGAACTTCAGATTTGTATTGATTTATATTGATTCAGAGGCAGCTGCCCCCTGTCCCCCCCCCTTGGCTACGCCCATGGACACAGGGTGTTTTACCCTGTTCCTATTAATATTTGCCCCTCCTCCCTCTTCACAGTTTTTCTAAAGGGCTCATTCTGATGTTGCTTTTCCCACCATCACCAGAAGAGAGAGCTTTGCTACCAACCATTTTACGTAAGCCTGAAGTGTTTCTCATTCTTTTCCTACTAACAAACTTTTAAAACAAACTTTTAGAAGAAATCTGAAGGCAGCCCTGTTTAGGGAAGCTTCTAATGTTTAATAGGTTATTGTACAGTATTTTAGTGTTTTGTTGGAAGCCGCCCAGAGTGGGCAGGGTATAAATAAATAAATTATTATTATTATTATTATTATTATTATTATTATTATAACACCAGGTGCTAAGGACTGGCTTCTGCAGTTGCTACTACTGCTCAGACCAGAATGAGCTTCACTTTGCACTTGCTGGTAATAAGCATTCTTAATTGTCTAGCTATGTTATTGTATTATTCATTTATTACTAAATTGTCTTTTATATAGTAACAGGTGTGTGTTTGTGTGTTAGAGACCTTGACTATAATTGGGATCACATTCACACTGTAAATTTGGGGCACTTTTATACTACTTGAACAATCATGGCTCACCCCCAAAGACTCTTATACCATATGAAAAAAAGTGGCTTCCACTAAAGAATCCTGGGAACTGTAGTTTAAGGGCACTGAGAGTTGTTAGGAGACCCCTCGTATAACCAGAAATCCCAGCACACTTAATATACCAAAAAGCTGAATACAAATAATCTGGCTATGACTACTATGACTTTAATGCAAACAGGAATAGCATTGGGTGGCATTGTGTTCTCCAATTTTTATCTTATCAGTAAAAAAAAATTCACTGTGACACAAGCACAGTTTTATTCTGAAAGCTTGGCCCAGAGAAAAAAAGTTTGAGAACCACTGCATTAGCCCAGAAAGTTTCATTTAAAAAGAGAAAAGAGAGAGAGAGAGAATAAAACTCTCAGTTCAGTTCAGTTCAAACAGTGGGTGGATGGGAAAACTGCCATATTCCAATTACGAAGCAGTCTAGGTAAAGGTAAAGGAGCTTGCGAGCGGATGGCACTGTGGTCTAAACCACTGAGCCTCTTGGGCTTGCTGATCAGAAGAGCGTCAGTACACAGGTGAGCTCATTGTTCAGTTCAAACACTGGGTGGATGGGGAAACTGCCATATTCCAATTACAAGGCAGTCTAACTTCCAGCTGCTCATAACTATATTTTGATTGTAAGACTGCAATCCTATGGATGCTTATTTGAAAGTAATCTCCACTGAACTCCATAGTAAAAGGTAAAGGGACCCCTGACCGTTAGGTCCAGTCATGGGTGACTCTGGGCTTGCGGCGCTCATCTCGCTTTACTGGCCGAGGGAGCCGGTGTACAGCTTCCAGGTCATGTGGCCGGCATGACTAAGCCGCTTCTGGCGAACCAGAGCAGCGCACGGAAATGCCGTTTACCTTCCCGCCGGAGCGGTACCTATTTATCTACTTGTCCTTCGTGCTTTCGAACTGCTAGGTTGGCAGGAGCAGGGTTTTAGCAACAGGAGCTCACCCCATCGCAGGGATTCAAACCACTGACCTTCTGATCGGCAAGCCCTAGGCTCTGTGGTTTAACCCACAGCGCCTTCTGAGTAAATATGTGTAGGTTCAACTTGTAAAACACATGCCTAATAAAGGCTCTTATTCAGCCAGCTGAAACATAGCCTTTTGCAAATGCAAACAATCTTAGAGACATTTTACCATTTATCATGCTAGTGTGAAGTAGAAAACTCCTTACATAAAAGGAGATAAGTGCTTCTACTGATTCTCTTCAGCAGTCACTCTTCTTATTTTGGGTATTCTGTCCCTGCTTGACAGTTGAAGTAAGCAGTTTGAAATGTTAGAACCAAATAACTACAAAGGGGTTACACAGCAAAAGAGACGATCACACTCCAGCTTGCTCTAATTGATAAGCATAGGTAAGAAAACTAAACAATCACTCATTCCTTCTCTTGCCACACCTTTTGAATTTGAGCTACTAGTCACAGACCACTTCAAAGCTTCATCCTTTCATTCCCTCCCCAGAACAGGGGAAGCCCATCACCATAATTATTTTTGGCTAATCCTGGCCTTTAGAATGCCTTTCTTCTTTCCCAGTGGCCACTCAGTTTACTTTCATTTCTAGCCATTCAGCAACCCAGTATATTCCCATAGCTATTTGGAAGCAATCAATACATCCCAATGGCCATCCACTGCCATTCTTTTCAATATGCCTCTTTTACACATGAACGACAAACATAGCTATCCCCATCACATCTGATGGCCCTGAGGCAGAACAGATAAAACTGCTCAGACACCTGCGTGTTTAGCTTTGAGTGGCCTCGCCCTCAGGCTACTGGCTTTCTTTCCAAAGACTCAAATAGCAGGGCAGAGCAGGGGGTGTTAACAGCTTGGGATGGGTGGGGGTCAAATGTATTAAGGGCTGTGACAATGGAGAGGGAGAAGTCAGCAGGCCAGGTGCCTGCTTGGCTCTGCAAGATAAAAGAGGATTAGGGAGCTATCTGCACCTGTCAGGTGTGCTTCCCCT